AGCACGCCGTCGTAGCTGGCTGTTTCCAGAATCTGAAAACGCAAATTCTGTTCAGACAGCTTCGCGGATTGGATGTCCATTTCCTTCTGCATGTTCGAAATCTGTTGTTGCGCGGGTCCGCGGAGTATTCCTCCTCCTCTTTCCCCGGTTCCACCGATGGCTCCCATTTCTTCCACCTTCTTCGTCAACGCTGTCGTCGATCCGTGCAACGAATCGACCGTCCGTCGGATGTCTTCGTTCGCTTTTCTGTCTTTCTTCGCCGTATTTTCCAAAGTTTCAATATTGTCCGCTTGCCCCGCCAGTAGTCTCTTAAACGAAAAAGAAAAACATTTCATTAAAATTTCCGAGCGATTCGAGGCTAAAAAAAAAAAACAAATAATAAATATCAAACTGCGGTTACCTGCAATTTACCGAGACGATCGTCTTTCGATTTATGCGTCAGCTTGATGGATGCTATCTGCTTCGCAAGTTCTTCGTTTTTCTGGTGGTTCGCTTCCACCCGACTTTCTAGTTCGTCGACCCGGCCGAATTTTCGAAGTTGGATGTCCATCTGACTTTTCAGTTCGGCGACTTTGCTAACGGCTCCGGACAACTCGGCGTTTAACCGCGCTACCGCCATCACGGTCATGTCGAGATGGCTTTGGACTCCCTCTTCAGCGTGCTTTTCGAGTTCCGCATTGACGCCCTGAAGTTGAGAAAAAGGCGGAAAAAAAATTCGTTGGTGTTCTTTGCATAAAGCAATATCGAACGAACTTTCATTAAAAAAAAATTAGATATATAATAACCTACCTTAAAATCGCACCCGTAAAATTCGAATTTGCAGCATCTCTTCTGCCGAGAGCATCGTTCGTCCAGATGCGTTCTCAACTCTTCCCTTCGAACGTCATCCGCTCCGCAGTCGTTCGGACAAGACACCGTAAATTTAGGACAACTCCGTCGGTGCGCCTCGACGTCGCGATGCGGGAAGAGTGACTTGCAGAAAGTGCATTCGACCGAACGATGTTCGCACTCGGTTTCCAGATGTCTCTGCATATCCTTGCGTGGCAGCTTGGTCCCACACCCCCGCGATCGATGCATGCACGCGACGGGAAAGTAGTTGCAAAATTCCATGTGCCGTCCGAGTTCTTTCAGCGCGAAAGTTTCCGAACACCCCCGATCCTTGTGGGGACAGTATATCTGAGCTTTCGACATTTTCCGGCGTGCGTGATGATCGGGTGCGATTTCCTCTTCGGCGAACTTTTCTTCGCAGTTCGGACAGAGTAATTTTTCTCCGCCGTCGCAGCCGGGCGTCCGTCCCTTGATGCAGGCTTCGCAAAACCGGCAGCCACACGGCGCCTGCACCGCTCGTCGGACGGCGAGAAGACATACGCCGCACGTCAGATCATCCGACACGTTCCCTTCCACAAACGTGTAATCGAGTCCGTCCTCGTTCATCGATGTTGACGCGAGGCTGCTCATCTTAAAATGATAAGAGTCTCGTACGAAAAAATTGGCCATTCTTATAATAATCTAAGATGAGACTAACGTCATCGGTTTTTGCGCTACGTCACACATTTCCTTTCAACTCGAAACCATACAGAAAAACTCGAAACCAATTAGAAAGCTTCGTGATTCGAAGTACACATGACGTCATGTGTCATGCATCCTCGTTCATCCGGAAACCATACAGAAAGCGTCGTGATTGAAAGTACACATGACGTCATGTGTGATGCATCTCCAACAAAATAAAAGGCTTATAAGAGCCGAGTTTAAGTCCACAAATTGCAAACATGAATAATATCAAGGAAATCACCGTTTCGTTCGTTTCTTCCAACGGTAACGTGCGGCTGAAGATACCCCCGAACAAGAACGATGAATACAACCTGTACATACCGACGTGCGTCGACGACGGTGACACTCGGGGAAGTTTCACGGTGCTCTCAAAAGCGACTTTGGACAGACAGACTGCGAATTTACTCGACGGAAGTTACATGAAATTGTGCCCCCTGAGTCGGAACACTGTCAAATGCCTGAAACAAGTCATGCTGAGGAACGAGATAAACATCTCGTCTAACGTTCAAAAATACCAGGTACATTCTCTGACCGACGTCGTCGCTTCCGAAGTTGCGATCGAATACTACATGATAATCGGAAACATGCCGCTCCAGATATCGAGGAGATGCGTGGTCCACTGCGACGGAGACGACCCGTACCATCGAACCGTGGCCGNNNCGTCCATCGATCAAACGCCTGTCTCTTATACACATCTAGATGTGTATAAGAGACAAGAACAAGACCGTGCATCGACGAAGGATTGGATCTCCGCCGTTCTGGGGACCGGTCGAGTGGAACGAGATCGAGTGGCGGACGTTCTGGCGATCGCAAAGGATATGGTCCGATCCCATCCGGCGAAGGACGAGACGGCGTATCTGGTGGCCGACGTTCTCCGCGAACTGTGTCCGGAGGACTTCGATTGGCAATCGCTGAGAACCCTGAAAGAGTCCGACTCGTGCAAGGTGTGCTTGGATGCGGTCTCGGACGTGTTTACCCTCCCCTGCAAACATCTACTGATGTGTCTATCCTGTTCCGGACGGACGGCGAGATAAATGTATTAGTATTTTGACTTCTTTTGACTCCTGTGGTCTTCCTTTTGACAATGTGTCTGCATGTTCCCTGTATGTGTACTAAAGTACACCCTTCATTCTTACAGTATTTTTGCATTCATATTCCTTTTTTAAAATTATTGTATTTATTTTACTTTCAAATTGTAATAAAGGATTAAATGTTGGGAAATTTAAACTTGATGCATTGTTATGAGGTGCATGGATGTATATCTGTTTTTTATACTCCGGTTGACACATGTTGGGACACATTTTATTAAATAGTAATTTAAATTTAATACTGTAATATGAAAAATTTATTTATTTATTTATTTATTTATTTCTCAAATATTCTGAGAGCTTATACAATATATAACTCTATATTTATGTACTGTACACGTGTTATACATCTTAATAAAAGCTTCTTGCGCTCTAGTAAGTCCGTTACTTTTTTAATTTTCTATATAATACTTAATAAATAAATACAGTGAAGCGTTTCAAAGTCCTTTGTCATTGTGTGATTATTCTCATGGTTCTAAAGTTCTCAAGGGTTACACCGTTACATTATACGGTACTTTTTTTAACTTTTGTACATCATACATAATAAATTAAAATAGATAATGCTTTACATACTCCTGTGTTATTGTGTGTTTAGTCTCATGGTTCTAAGTTCTTACATTCTCATGGGTTACACTATTACATTATAATTTTTAAAAATTTTCTATAATATACCTGTACGAAATGAATAAAAATAGATAATGCTTTACGTACTCCTGTGTCACTGTGTGTTAAGTCTCATGGTTCTTAAGTTCTTACATTTTCAAGGGTCACACGGTTACGTTACCATTTTTAAATTTTCTATATTATACATAATAATGATGAAATAAGAAACACATCAAATCTCAATCAAACAAATCATCTATGTACATTTTGTCTAGGTATTCATCGTCTGCAAATTGAGCATCTTCATTCATGGTGTCTTTATCATCTCTGTTCTGACAGTTTGTACATTGACAAAGATCGGAGCATTTCATGTTCATTTTATTGCACTGACATCTGCCTTGATTGCACCCGGTCTTACAACCGCATTTGATGATCTCCATTAAATTATGCCTACATATATTATTTAAAATATACAATTTTAATTGATAAGATTATTTTTTACATGAACATAATAATTCATACTTAAACAATATATTAAATTTAAATGTAAATATAATGAAATTAACGAATAAATAACAATAATTAAACGTGTACATAATATCTATCACTACTACAATAACAAAATCAATATTTTTCAATCTTATAATCAATTTTATATAGCCGGAGTTAGTTTCGACCAAGGCAAACCTTTGCTTAAAAAGTACACTTTCTCCATCAAAAGGCTTTTTCTATGAATGCAATGACCTGTTGGAAGCACGAAATCCTGTAGACCAAACCCAGTACCGTTACGATTTTCAATTGTACGGGAAATCCACTCACGAAGCTAAGTGGGGTAGGGCCTGCACAGTCAGCACCATTTTTTTGAAGAATATTTTTAATACATTGTACAATGTGTCTGGGTAACGTACTGACGGGACTACACTACACTTGGTAATGATAACTTATCATTGCTATCGATTTCGTGTCGATGTGTAACGACGATAGCAAACAAGGTGGAAGTCTTATCACATCCTCGTAATGGTATGTCTTTCCCTCATCCATTCCAAGAGGCACATCCTAGTTAAGACACAAGTTTGTCAGCTATAGTTCGGTTATGAAGGTCTAAAACTATCCATAATTTGTTACAAGTAACAATCTTCAAGAATCTGGTTGCTGTAACTAGAATCGGAGTTTCATTAGTGATTTCTTCGCGGTGAAAACAACACTTTATTACAACACCGGCACCACACTGTCCGCCGCTAGTCGCCATGTTGTTGTTTACTGTTGTTGGCTGTACCACAACAAGTGAAGTTATTGTAACAAAATCAATTTAATAGTAGTCTAAAAAATATTATTCTGTAATTAAAATACAAACTATATCTAATTATAATTTTTAAATTTGTTTTTAAAGCGGTAATACGAAGTTCGCAAATAATAAACTACAATATTCGAACAAGTACAGTGACGTTTACAAAATGTCGTGTGCTAATCTAGCGCAAAGAACTTTCAATTTCGTAAGTTTAAACGTCAAGTTCTGACGGTCGAACTTGTGTTTTTGTGGTGTTTTTAAATATTATTATAATAATTATCATAATGAGTGAAAGTATTATGAAAATTTCGGAAAGGGACTGAACGTTAGGATTTTTACCCCATGGCCTAAAGTGATCTGCACTGACGCTTAATATAAAGCTCATCATTTAGCGCAACATGATTTCTGCGATCAAATGCCATGCTAGCATCTGAAAAACATGTACACTAGGCTGCAATTTCGCATATTTCGTATATTATACTAATCAACAATTTGTTGAAAGACAAAAAATACATATGTATCTGTGGAGTTACCTAATTCTATAGCAAACTGTTGACCACCAGAGGAAAGTTGCCTGATACTGTTCTTCTATAAACAAGTTTAAATATCTGAGATACAACAGTGGCTAAAGTAATAGGACAATAATTACATTGTAAGTGATATCTTTAACTTAATTAAAAGTAAAAGAACCTTATGTCATTTCGGGAGTAACATGACTATGCCATAGCATTAAGCTAAAAGCATAAACTAAAAAGTGTGAACCCTCGCACTAAAAATTTGAAGGTGCTCAGTGTAGACATTGTCAACGATTGTGGATTTACCTAGTGATTAATGTAATTCTTTACAGTTTAATGATAGGACAACATATTACAAATTTCTTTCAACTAACTTGAAACGTTTAAGAGTGCCAACGTTAAATTTTTTCACCTTTTCCAAGAACTTTAGGTAATTGTCATTAGCCAAAGATTTAGCCATAGAGTCACAACACAACAGAGTTCTTTATCATGTTTACATTGTCTAAAAGCCATTTTAAACTGAGACCTAGATATTTCCATTGAATCATAAAGAAGGCCCATATCGGGCATGCATTAATCCATTGAATAATGCAGTTGATGGTTAATACAGCAGTTGCTTGAAGTAACATGTGGGTGGTTATCTGGAGCATCCATTGAATAATGCAGTTGGTTACCTGCAGCATCCATTGAATAATGCAGTTGTTGGTTAGCCGAGGCATATATTGCAGTTGTTGGCTTGATGAAGCATCCATTGAAAATGAAATTGTTGGTTATCTGCAGCATCCGTTTAATAATGGAAACTGGTTTGTTTGGACAATCACTTGTAGTTCATGCATAGTAAACAATTTAGACATGGTGATGAAGTGCAACCTGTATAGAAACTGAATATAAATAATAGTGTTATTATTATATATATAACATAATATTAGCAATAAATATATAATTATGGGAGATGTTTTGCCCTAGCTGACGTGTAATCGTACTGAATACTCAGTACGTCCTCAAATACTAGCGAATTTTTTTTGCTAGTATTTGGGTGATTCGGTGGGAATCGAACCCACGACCTCCAGGTATATAGCCTGATGTCTTAACCACTAGACCACCGAGCTTGCGCTTGGTGACTAGTGATGAATTCGATACCCTAGTAGCAGTGGGTACTGCAAGTGTTATATAATTGTTGCAGTTTTCACTTGAAGTAATAACTGCTCAATTCTTTGTTAGAATAAATCAGTTGTAAACTAATTCAGAAGTTCATTCATTCCTCCATCTTCATTTTTTTTCTTCAGAATTTTATATCTATAAAAAAATGATCAGAAAAAAAATGTTTGACAAGATACCAGACTGTTAACGCCATTGTTAGTTCTATTCATGAAGCAATACACCGATTTATGCAAATACTTATAAAATGAAGGAACAGAGTTACTAAGTGGCACTACAGTGTCTAGGTAGTTTAGTACTAAATGCAGTAATAAATGTAATGTGTATTTAGTTAAAAAAATCATCTGTTCACAAGCAATACTTGTTTATTATATTTTTATAGAGATAAGATGGAGGAAGAAGAAGATGAAATGGAGGAAGTGTAAGTTATAAATAAAGTAATATCATCCATAGATTTTAAATTAATTTCGGATGATTTGCCATAAATCTTTGATAGTTGAAATTAAAGTAATAAAATACTAGATGTATCTGGTATCATGTTTAACACTTGGTAAAGAATCTATATATTCACAGGCAATACAATTTTTTTAATATAAATTATAGTAGATGAGATAAAGGAGGAAGATGATGAAATGGAAATTGTAACTTAATTATAACATGTATTAAAACTTTTTTTTTTGTAAAAGTTGTATCATACTATTACTACCTTAAAATGGAAAAGATTTTAGGGTATTTTAGGCATCTAGAAAAATATTTCCTGAAGGGGGTTTGCAAATTTATATAACTTGGAACTTCTGTTGTTTCTCACATGATCTCTTCATATCGATGTACATTAACAGAAAATATCAGGAAAATCTGTTGACGGATCTCCACTCATGTTAAATATTACTATCAGAATATAGGAAGAGAAGTTGATGAGTAATAATTATAGAAGCAAGATACATCACATATACATATATTCACAAGTAATACTTTATACATTTTTATAGGGATAGAGAGATGATGATGAGGAGGAGGATGAGGAAGAAAGAAGAGGAAGAGACAGAGGAATTGTAAGTTAGATATTACTATCACATCTTAGAAAATAGGAAAGTAATGAATATATTGTGGAAGCATACCTGATGGAACTGGATATAATCGTCTTTTTGAGGCAGAAGCCATTGTTGAAATGTACATTACATTTCATTTAATTATGTTTCAATCAATTAATTAAACAATCAGGTATATGCACCTCCCATGCTCCCTCCCTACCAATGAAAAGGTGTCATTTAAAATAATACGTACAAATGATTCATTTAAATTGCATATATTTTCTGTCATTTCTTATCTAAACCCTATTCATTCATTTACAAAGTTCATAAGCGTAAACCAATTCATTCCCAGACGCGCGTCCTGTAAAGTTTGTCATTTACAGCTATGCGCTCCTTTGACGTTAACCGACTGTTGCTATTAACGATGACAGCGGTCTAATGTCGTCTCTGTAAGACGGTCTAAATTTAGATCGGCATGTCGCTGGAAAGAGACCAGTGACTGGTGCTAGAATAGTTTATCTTATTGGCAATGACTTTACCACGTCTTATTATCGCCGTTAGTGTTTTTATAAACGATGCTTTAATTGATAATATAAAGACTCGTAAAATACAATTGATGTTCAACTGCTTTAATACACTTGAAGTTTCTTGTTATGCAATAGAATAAATGAACAAAAGCACTCAAAATTCACATGGATAATAGCTTTAAAAAGTTACCTAAAATCGTTTTACGATCGCATGATGACGTCATCGGCCAAACACCGTTTGTAAAATAGAAGGTTCGTAATTGAGAAGTTCGTAATTGGGAGGGTCGACTGCAGTCGACCTTCTCAATTACGTACCCTTTGGTCTAGAAGGCGTTCGTAATTGAGAAAATTCGTAATTGAGAAGTATGAAAAGATAGCGCCCTCTAGATAGATTTTTTAACCATGTGTGTGCTCCAAACGATCGTCACGGCCTATTGGTATGGTCTATGACTGGTCTAAGTTTACACAGAATATTTACAATGTGCAGGACTCCGTAGCAAACAACAACACATTCTAAACTATTATATATTATTACTGTATAGACGAACCTCTCTCCATTGTACTATTATTTACCCATAGCCTCCGTGCCCACAGCCGATGCAAAATCAAGAAGTACTCCACATGGGCGACGATCATTCGTTTAACCATGTGGTTGTTGCGCAGATGGATTTATGCTTTGCGCTCAACGGCTATGCACGCTCCATGGTTTTAGCATTGTGAACCAGCCGCCGCACTGCTGCCAGCCTTTGATCTCGAGTCCGCAATACACGAACGAACGTATAAGACGTGATTTTTTTCTGTGCTGCATATAACTGATGAAACACTTTCAGAAGCGCCATGAGCGTCATATTCGGCGCTATATAAATGTTCTATTCTATTCTATTCAAACAGATAAATTACAAACGCAAACGATGGGTATGATTTAAATAAA